CTGTTCTGCTGTATCATACATAATCATTAAGAAAAGACAGCTTTCACTTGTCTCCCTTCTATCTCAGCAACAGGTGTATCCTGTTGTTGACCACAACAGAAAGAAACTATTTTTGTTTTACTTACAATACAACACAAAATTACATTTGTGTAGTGCCTTTCACGACATTTAGGGATTTGGACCTGAGCAGGAGGTCAGGATCAGGGTGAGTAGAGGATGGTCGAAGAGGAGGGTCTTGAGAAATCCTTTGAAGGAGGCAAGGGAGGGAGTGAGGCAAAGGGAATGTGGGATGGAGCTCCAAAGGGTGGGGGCAAAGAGGCTGAAGGCCCGACGGCCAATGATGGGGCGAGCTGGGCGGGGGCCATGGAGCAGGACGCTGCCTGCTGAGTAGAGGGAGTGGACAGGTTGATAGGGGGTCAGCAGGTCACAGAGGTAGGAAGGAGCCAGGCTGTGGAGTGACTTGAGGGTGAGGATGAGGATTTTGAACTCTTCTGGGGATGGGGAGCCAGTGGAGCCGGACAAGGGCGGGGTTGATGGGGTCACGGAGCCTGGTGCGGGAGAGAGTTCTGGATGGTCTGCAGCTTGTGGAGGGAAGAGTTGGGGAGGCCAACAAGCAGGGAGTTGGCGTAGTCGATCCTGGTTGTGATGAATGTGTGGATGAGGGTTTTGGAGGTCAGAGCAATTAGGCAATGGCAGAGCCGGGCGATGTTGTGGAGGTGGGGGAAGGCAGAGCTGGTCGTGGCACAGATGTGGGGTTCTTCTACTCAGTCTTCACTTAATCTATCTTCACTTCCAAGTACTTTTAAGGAAAAGGTTTTTTTCCTTAAATTTTCACATTTTTAAAAGGTTTATAAAGCCTGTGCTGGGAGCTAGGGTCAGGACGGATGGAGGGCAGAGGGGTTGGGGTTAGGAGGGTTTCTGAAGGCACAGTCAAAGAGGAAAGTCTTCAGACGGGATTTGAAGGAGGCAAGAAAGGGGTTAAGGTGGAGGGATTGCGGGATAGAGTTCCAGAGTGTGGGGGCAGAGATGCGGAATGTCCGACCATCAATGATGGGGCGGGAAGTGTGGGGGAGCTGAAGCAGCCGGTGTCCACTGAGCGGACGGAGCGAGGCTGATATGGGATTAGGAGGTCGGAGAGGTAGGTGGGGAGTAAGACAGTGGAGGGCTTTGAAGGTGAGAACGAGGGTTTTGTACTCGATTCTCTGAAGGATGGGGAGCCAGTGAAACCGGGAAAGAACGGGGATGATTGGTTCTCGGAGCCTGGAGTGGGAGAGGACACGAGCTGCAGGGTTTTGAATAATCTGCAGCTTGTAGCGGGAAGAGGGAGGGAATTCCAGTGAGCAGGCAGTTGGCTTAGTCAAGTCGGGACATGATGAAAGCGTGGATCAGGGTCTCGGCGACCTGTGGTGAGAGGCTGTAGCGGAGGCGGGCAATGTTGCTGAGGTGTGCCATTGTTTATACTCCACATGAATCTCTACCCACTCCTTACTCCTTACTTTACCCTGCTTTTCCGCCCTCCGTCATGTGAAGGTCTCGCTTCCTCTTGAATGCAATTATACTATCTGATTCAACCACTGAATCAAGCAGCGAGTTCGAAAATCTCACTGCCTTCTATGTTGAATAGTTCCTTCTAACTTCTCTTTTCGATCCCTTAAATTACTATCTTATAATAATAATTCTTGCATTTGATATAGTGCCTTATCATGTCGTTGAACGCTTCACAAAATATACTGTCAAGTGAATTGACTAAATTTTGTGGGTGAAATGTAGCAGTGAATTCTGCACAGCAGTGCCCCGCAAATAGTCGTGGATTGAGTGACCAAATGTTTCATTTTTTTTGGAAGGAATTATTACCCCCGGAAAGCAATCTGCCAATTGACTGACAAGCAGTTTCCTATTTACTGCTGGTAAACAGAGGTGCGTGGAGTAAGGAAACTTGCCCAACGTTTCGCCCTGCCTGGGAATCAGAACACAGGTCCTCTCGCTTGCGAGGCGAGTGCTCTAACCACTGAGCTACAGGACTCCTTCCCAGTACCTTGGGTCCACAACACAACACCCATCTCTGTTGCTTTATATCATTGCACAACTTCTCTGTGTGAAACCGCATCCAGAATTAGTTCAAGTGATTGGCTTAATCGTTGCTCAGGGAATTCTGCCGCAAGAACCTCCGAGCTACAATTCCTTCTGTTGCAGGGAGAGCTCAGGATGCACAACAGTGAAGCTCTCCCATGAGTAAGCACAGTATTTCTTACTTAAAAATGCTTTAATTGAGACACGTTCTACATCAGCCCGGTAATGGTGGGAGACAGCTATGAGTCTCATCCAGGCTTCTCTAGCCTCCTTTAGCATCAAACAAAAGCCCTACATACCTTCAGGTTCAGTCACTACACCCTCTGTGGGTTCAGAGATTCCCAGATACTGACAAACACAGGTTACGATGGTCTAATTTCCCACCAACACAGTGAAGTGTGTTAAATTAAATTGTGTGAAGGTTATACATAAAGTCTACCCAGGCAGATCTGAGGTACCCTCATCCATCCTAGCCCTAGCCACAGAATAATATGGAGTCCTGTACAGCTCTAGCTCAGTGGTTAGAGCACTCGCCTTGCAAGCGAGAGGACCTAGGTTCGATCTCTGGGCAGGGTGAAATGTTGGGCAAGTTTCCTTACTCCACACACCTCTGTTTATCAGCAGTAAGTAGGAACCTGGTTGTTAGTTGATTGGTGGATTTTTTCCCAAGGTAATAATCCCTTCAAAATCACAAATAATAATGTAGTCACTCAATCCCCGACTGTTTGTGCGACGCTGCTGTGCGCAATTGGCTGCCGTGTTTCGCCCACAAAATATACAGTCAATTCACTTTACAGTATTTACTGTGAAACGCTTTGAGACGTCTGGCAGAGGCGATAAGGCGCTGTATCAAATGCAAGGATTATTATTATTATAATGTGACGAGACAACCAAGTTGCTGTAGCAAACTACTGCTGACAATTCAGAGACAGGCATGAGAACTGCAGCTCAGGGTTACACTATCTACACAGTACACAGTGAATCCTGGAAACACTTTGAGACACATCACTGACGTGACACTGACACGTTTCGCCCACAAATATACAGTCAATTCACTTTACAGTATATCCTGTGAAGCGCTTTGAGACGTCTAGAAGACGTGAAAAGCGCTATATCAAATGCAAGGATTATTATTATTATTATTATTATTATTATGACAAGTGCCATATAAAATGCAAGGATTGTTGTGGATTTCAGTTGCCACCCGTTGCTGATGCGATTTATCAAGCTTGTTTAGAGGGGAGATTGAATTAATACTGAATTAAGAACATATGGGATAAAAGAGGTAAGAGTAGAATTGTAGACTTTTACAGCTTCATTTGGTCCATTGTGCTTGTGTTGGCTCCCTGTAAGAGCTGTCTGTTTAGTCACTCCCCTGATGTTACTTACTGTATAACCTTTTAAATATTTCCTTTTCAAATATTTGTCTTTGAAAAGTACAGAGTCAGACAGTCCAACTAGAGCTGTCATCCAACCTGACCCTGCTCAGTGAAAATACATAAGTCAGCCCCTCGTTTCAGAGAGGAATTTTACTGCAGCTCCAAACTTTCCTTAAGGGAGCTCCCAAGCACACTGTGTTTTAGCTTGAGCTTGCCTTAAATATCGCATAGCTCTCCAGCACTGCAGTTGCGTGTGTGTGTGGGTGGGACGGGGAAGAACATTGTGCACAGTGAATGCTGTACATTGTGGAGTCTTGTAGCTCAGTGGTTAGAGCACTCGCCTCAAAAGCGAGAGACTTGGGTTTGATTCCCGGCAGGGCAAAACGTTGGCAAGTCCCCTTTACTCCACACGTTTCTGTTTATCTAGCAGTAAGTAGGAACCTGGTTGTTAGTTGATTGGTGGATCGCTTTTCCAGGGATAATAATCCCTTCAAAAAATAATAATAATGTGGTCACTCAATCCACGACTGTTTGTGGGACGCTGCTGTGTGCAATTGGCTGCCGCGTTTCTCCCCCAAAATATGCAGTCAATTCATTTTACATTATATTCTGTGAAGCGCTTTGAGAAGTCTAGAAGTGATAACGCGTTATGTCAAATGCAAGGATTATTATTATTACATCTTGAGTGGGTCAGATTGTCTGGGATTAGGCCCTCCATGGAACAGCTAGATATATATATATATATATATAGTGCAAAGATTTACACATGAGTTCCTATTTGCTGTGCACTAATTTGGCTGCCGCATTTGCCTACAAGCATAGTCACTACACTTTACAGTAAGTCATACAGGTATTTCCATATATGCAAAATGACACAAGATGTGCACTTCTCATTGGAAATTCCTCGTTGGTTGAATTACCCATTTCCTTATTTGCATTTTTATATAAAGCAAATGATTCAGACAGTTTTCTCTCCAAGGAAGTGGAGGCAAAAAAAATCTACAGTTGATATGATTACTGTTTGAATGAAACTGTTGGGGACATTTTTTTTAATTTTATTGATGCGAAAATAAAATAAACTATTATAAGCTTTGTATGTTGATGCTGCAACTGAGGGATATATTATGTTTATGTTACCAAATTCTGAGAGAATTAAAAGGATGGATGCTGCGTTTCACCTCTCTCCCCCCTCCCTCTCCCCCTCCCCACCATTTCATCTCAAAAGGTTTCTGATTCCAAATCGTTTTGTGGCAGTTTTCAAAACTTCGGCAATTTTGGAAACTTGAGTATCAGCTCATTAATTTATCAAACACCTTCAGTCTGTCCAGAAACTTCCACCTAATTTAAGCGCTCCGTCTGGCATGAAGGGCACGATATAAATGCAAATTGTTGTTGTTATCTGTAATTTTAGACACAGTTCTCTAGGGTTGCTTGTGCATAATCTCCCTTCTTTTCTGCCAACGCCATTTTTGTCTGATGTTTAATTGTGAGATCTCCTTTCATCCTGCATTTTAAACTGTGATTGTTACCGAACCTTTTTTCTCCCCTCAGGGAATCTGGCGAATTCCTGTTGATGAAATTGACCGTCCTGGCAGCTTTGCATCACATATGAACCGTTCTATTGTTATCTTACTTGATGTTTTATCGCAGCTGAAGGACCACAACACACTGCTGAAGGTATCGTCTATGCTTCACAGGACACCTGACCAGGGAAAGTAAGTTCTGTGCATTCAATGTTTCTGAGATAATGACCACTTCACCAAGACACCTGTAACAAGGTGTGACTTTATTAAACAGAAAACAAACTCTGTGCTAAACCTTTCCCCACCATACCTGTGGTGTTTAAAACTATATTTTTTTGTTCTATACAAAAGGGCTTTAAGCGCTCTGGGACGCTACCCTGCGTGAGGAGCGCTATATAAATGGAAGTTGTTGTTGTTATTTGAGAAAAATAAGGGCTGCCATCTTAACAGCTCAACAGCTTTTACAAGGTAGTAGCATCAGAAACGCATGTTCTCACCATATCTTTCATAATCAGTTGATGGTAGAGTTTGTAAGTGCAGCATTCCTTCCAGTATTGTGTCAAACTCTGCCAAGTTCACTCTCTACCATCAACTATTTTTGACAGAGAAGGCTCAGCCTTTGTGTTTGGAGTAGGATTATCTGCACCTGCTTCCTCAGAAATAAATGCCATTAGCTGTTGTAAAATGGCTCCCATTTGCCCTCCCAATAAGCCTTTTTTTAAGAATAAAAACATTTGTGTTTAGCTTTGAATCCCACTATATAATCCCTGTCCCACACCAGGCTCCTCAAACCTATCGCTCCCATCCTCACTAGGCTCCATCAGTATTAGCACTTTGATCCCAAGTGAATCAAGTTTAAATTCAAGATCCTTGTCTTGTTAGGTCAGAGTATCAAGGATTACGGGGCAAAGACGGGTAATTGGAGTTGAACATAAGAACACAAGAAATATGAGCAGGAGTAGGCCATTCGGTCCCTCCAGCCTGCCCTGCCATTTAATAAGATCATGGCTGATCTACTAACGTAATTCCATTTACCCGCCCAAACCCCATATCCTTTAATCCTTTTAGTTTTGAAAAATCTATCGATCTCAGTCTTGAATATGTTCAATGACTGAGCATCCACTGAGATCAGCCATGATCTTATAGAATGGCGGAACAGGAGTGAGGGGTTGAATGGCCTCCTGTTTCTGTGTTGAGCATTGTGGCGCTGTACAGAATTCCTGCTTTACCTGTAACGCTGTACAAATGGCAACTGGCCTGGACAATTAGCTGGTTTCCCTGTGGAGCTGTACTCAGTGGCTGCTTTGCCAGCCACCCTGTTCCGAGTGCCTGTGACATGTACGAGTGGCTAACTTGACTGTGATGCTGTACAGAGCAGCTGCTTTTCCTTTTAACCTGAGAAACATAGAAGACACAAAGACCTTTTGACTTTTGCACATGGTGAGGAGACAAGAATGTTTGCGCTCACTTTGCTGCAATTAGAATATACTGTATTCTGTACCTAATAGCTGCCTATATGTGAGAATGACCTGGTTTTGTACACGAGGCTTCCAGCACTCTGGGAACATCATGAAAATCACCAGCAGTAATGGAGGAAGTTCTTCGGTTCCTGTGGTCGTATTTCTCAGAAATGTTCTGCTCTAACTGCTGTTGTGTTTTTCTCTCTCTCTCTCTCTCTCTCGGTCTTTTCCATAGGAAGTATTTGCGTGATGTGGATCGTCAAGTCCTTGCCAAGCGAGCATTCATTTTCACAGTGAAAGTTCTTGAGGACAACCTGAAGGAACTAACTGGGGTAATGCTACAAATTAATATATTGATAATTTAGCATAATAATTTACTGAAACACGTGTGTCAACGGCTGCCAGCAACATATGAGGGTTGCTTTACATAAAAATAATACTCCATGCATTTGATATAGCGCCTTATCACATCGTTGAGACGTCTGAAAGTGCTTCACAGTAAAATGAATTGACTATGAAATTGAATCTGCTTTGCTGATTCTCCAACCCCATTTTGTTTTTTCAACCCTGTGAAGTGAAGTGCCAGAAATCACAATCACGTTTGGCAACTTGAAACCCAAAACTCAATTTTGTCTTCTAATTTAAGATCATGCAAAGTTGTGGAAAATCTCAAAGTTGGTCTTAATTTGAATGCTGTTTCTTTTTAAGAACTGTGAGAATCAACTTCCAAAGTAATATAATCAAATGTATTTTCAACAATTCTGTGTGTCTCAAATTTATTATTATAATAATAATATTAATAATCTGTACATTAGGTATAGTACCTTTATAGAGATTGCCCCAAAGCATTTCACAGGATTTACTGTAAAGTGTAGTCACTGTGTGTTTGGTGGGTAAATGTGGAGGGAATGATGATTTTTATTTTGGGAGATTGTTGTCCAGGACACAGTAAGAAACTTCTCTTTTCAAATGGTGACAACTGCACCTGAATGGGCAGACAGACCCACTGAGCCAGACTAACAATTTGAAACCTTGCTACGGAACAGATAGATGATCAACTGTAAGAATTAAACAAAGAGACGTTTTGTTAAGGAATAAAGGAGTTATTATCTGTGGCTGGGAGGGAGGGGAAGAGTCCTTTTCTTTTGTTCATGCTTCAAACAGGTATATCTGGAAATTGAATTTGGAGAAGTGGAAGGGGAGGAGAAGAATTTACTGACCAAGAAAGATAATTAATAACACATCAAATTTGTACAAAGTCCAAATACATCTTGAGCACTGAGGGACTGAGTTGCTCAGGGCACTCACGGTTGAACCACAATCCTACTGCTCTGACCTTGCCTCAGCCAAATTACCTTTCTATTTCAAGATCTTCCTGGAGACCTAGGGTAAACCCAGGTCCCTCTTGTCCATCACCAACTACCTATTTCGCCCACCTCCCTCTGCCTGACCATCCTCTTTCATTTCCAAATGTGCTGAGATGATGGACTTACTTGGGACCAAGATGTAGCAGCTCTGCTCTGTTGCCTGTGCGGCTGTCCACCCACCTCTCCCCCACCACCCTCTGCTCACCACTACCTCCATATTTTTGACACAGTCTTTCTTTTACATCCCTTTATTCCCAATTGAAACCCACCTCATGCTCCCTCAACCCCATCCTCACATCCTGACGCCTCAGCTTCACCTCCTTGCCCCCTTGCCAACTGACATGAACCGTTTATGCTTCCTTCAAAACCGCTATCATCACCCCCTGTTCTCACACCTCTCTCACTCCACCCATCTGTGTTCTCAAATTACTGTCCCAACTCCAACCTCTTTTTCCTTTTCTGGAAACTGGAAGGTACTGAAATGAGTCATTGCTTCCTGGTTTTGTACTTACTTTTCCAGCACTCCATGCATGAACTCCAACCCAGAGTCCTTCCGACCTGCTCCCTCTCGCACCTCATTCAAGGTTCAAGACCTTTCTCTTTGACCATCCCTTGGCCAACTTTTCCCGTGCACTTCGGTGCCAAGCCAGTACTACTACTACATACTAATACATACTTTGGGACTTCCTCTCGATAGTTAAAGGTGCTATTTAAATATTAATTAGTATTGTATTATAGTTATTTTGAGTTTGACATTTCATTTGCTTTTCAGATATCTGAAGATCAGGTGCCAAAGTCTTCAGTTTTATCAATGGGTGAGATGACGACAGACGTTTCTAACAAGCCGAGTGCTGAGGAGCATAAGGGTGTTGTACCCAAAAAGTCAACAGTTTCTGATGGGCCCATAAGGAATACCGAGAATGGGGTGAAGGATATTCCCAGAGGTCCGTCTCCCCAGGCTATGAACATGGAACAAGGTGAGAAAAATAACAAACTGATGGGTGACCTGACAAAGCCAAATATTGGTATGGAAGAACCAATGGAACTTAGCTCTGGGGAACCAGGCAAATTGGTATTTTCATTCAAGCCCCCCACGGGTTGGGATACAGAGCACAACAAGACTGCTGGAGTAACCGAGGGTAAGGCTTTGGAATGCAAACCCGCTGAGCTGTCCTTAGAGGAACTGAGCATTAGTTCAAAACAGCAAGCGACAACAATAACATCACAAGTTGTGGCTGGTCAAGCAATCAAGAAAGCAGGCCGGAAGAGAAAACTGCTGGAGGACACTGAATCTGGGAAAACTCTGCTGTTAGATGCATACAGAGTCTGGCAGCAAGGTCAGAAGTTTATGGCCGTTGATCTCGGAAAGATTGAGAAGATCATGTCGGAGACGTATATGCTGATCAAGCAGGTACAGTATATATTTTTTTAAGGAACAGAATTGAGGCAAGTACCCATGCTTATTTGATCAAAAATCTGTGTTTGATATCCTTTGATCACTTTGAAAATTGAATCTTCAAAGTACTGCCAGAAACGTGACCCAATCTGCGTAAACACGCTTATTATCTAAATCTGCAATAAAATCCCATAAAGAATTTGTAACCTACAACATCAGTATTACTGTATTTCATACCTCAACATTATTGTACCATCTTACTGGGTAAACATCCTGATTGAAACCATCCTAAGTCAGAATATATGGCATCAGGTCCACCATCAACAACAACAACTTGCATTTATACCGTGCCCTTCTCGTCGGTCAGTGTCTCGGAGAGCATGTGGCCCGCTTCCGTTCTTTCCCACAGCAGTGAGGTTGGATCGCTTTGGGCTTTTACTCTTCAATGAGCTACATTGATTGTGTGTAGGTTAGGAGTTCTCGGTCACCCAGTGCAGAAATGGCTGGTAAGTTAATAATAATCCTTGCATTTGGTGTAGCGGCTTTCATGTCAGGAAGATGTCCCAAAGCTCTCCACAAGATATAAGGCTGAGTGTTTTGTAGGGGGAAAGTGGCAGCCAATTTTGTATCCCACAAACAGCCATACAGTGAGTGACCAATTTAAATTGGGGGATTGTTGGCCAGAGTAAAACCCACTTCTCTTTTCGAATAATGCTAAGGGATCTTTAACATCTAACCTTAACAGGCAGATGGGGCTTCGGTAAATGTCTCATCCAAAGGACGGCACCTCCAACAATGCAGCACACCCCCAGCACTGCATCGGAGTGTCAACTTGGACTATATGAGTTCCAAATCTCGACATGGGGGCTTGAACCCACAACCTTCTGACTCAGAGGTGGCAGTGCTACCAATTGAGCCTGACAGCCTGACACACAACATGTTTAGATATAGCGCCTTTATGTCAGGAGAATTTTACTGTAAAGTGTGGGTAACTGTGTTTGTAGGTTGCAAGTTTTAGGAGGATATTTGGTATGTGGCTAGATGTTACCGGTTTGTTTCGACTCCTGATTAATGCAGCAATTTCAAGGAAAAATAGTCTATTCTAGAATCTGATTCAAGTCGGAATGAACTTCTGTTTGTGGGAGGGGGAGGGAGGCCAAGGAGGATCACAGTTTACTGACTCTCCCAAAGTTGTTTTGCAGTGGTAGGTAAGGAAGAAATAACTTTTTTTTACAGTGACTTATGTCATAAAACACATCAGAAGTAATTACTGTTAAGTGTAGTGACTGTTTTTGTTGGCAAACACAGCAGGTATTTATGCCAGCATGAAAGCTATGAGTTTGGGGCCAGGTGGTCTTGATTGGACACGAATGGTTTCCCTTTTAAGATCTGCGCAAATCGTGATCTGTGAATTTGTAACTTACAGCACTTAAAAGTAGTGCAAAAGATATGTGCAAACAAATAGAGTGGGTCCTTCATTCTTTGGTTCCTGGAATAAACCGTAATCTTGTGATGCTTCATAATTCCATATTGGTGCAAGAATGCTGCAACGGTTTTAACTGTTTACGTTAATTGAAAGCATAGGTTTTGTTTAGCAAAATTGTCAGGATCGCCATTTTTGTGTTGCCCCCGGCCTGATACAGTCAAGTCCTGAAAATGAGCAGTTGTGTTATGTTTTGATCCCCTGGCAACCTACAGTGCTGTAACTACAGCAAATACATATTCTCTGGTGTGTTCTGTGTGCCTGAGTCGCTAATGACCGGTCTGCTAATCGCAGTCAAGTTTCTAATTTTAACAAATTGAACTTTTGGTTCCTCAAAAGCAACTTGTAGAAATAATGCAAGTGCTTCCTGCAGTCAGTCACTGATCAGCTGTATGTCAGGATTGTTTTTTTATTTGCTTATGTATTTCTGAATTCCGTTAGCTTCCTTGACCTAAAATTTCACTTGTTTTAGCCTTAATAGTGTAGAATTTTGGAAAATTCTTAAAATTCATTCTTGTATGGAAACTGGAATTTTTCTGCTGATCTCTTTTTGCATCCCACAAATAGCCTCCCTCCCTCCCTCCCTCCCTCCCTCCCCTTCACCATTGTAATTCTGTCTGTGAATTATAGCTGTCAAAATTCAGCATTCTTTATCTCCCCCTCACCATAGACATGTTTTTGCTGGCATTCTTGTTCAGAGTTGTTCCTATTCCGATTACCTGGAACTACCAGATAATAATGATCCTTGCATTTGATATCGCGCCTTATCACATCTTTGAAACTCTCAAAGTGCTTCACGGAATATACTGTAAAGTGAATTACTATGTGTTTTGTGGGAGAAAGATATTGCAGGAGTGAAAAGCATCGCACCCTCCCTCATCTGAACTGCACTGCGACTGGCTCCAGCACAAACTGGTTATGTAACACAGCTTTAACTGTTGCTTCCTGCAGTCTTCTTCACGGCAAAACAACAGGGGGGAGGGGAGGGGGCGGAATCATCTGCCAGTTGGTTTCAGAGCATGCTCAGGCACATACCTGCGTTCTAGCTGCATGATATGAAACAGGCCTCGCTTCAAAAAGGGAAGGATGCAAACAAAAATCCTTCGTACCTCTCTATCATCCTCGTCCCATTTCCCTCCTTTCGTTTCTGTTGGATTTTTCAACATATTTGTTTAAAAGATGATATCACGAAAACTGGTTTGCAGGCGTTGTTGAGTCGAGCATTGCTGAGGAGCTCCTGGTTAGGATAGTCATTAATAATCCTTAATAATAATCCTTGCATTCGATATGGCGCCTTATCACGTGATCGAGACGTCTCAAACCGCTTCACAGAATATACTGTAAAGAGAATGGACTATATTTTGTGGGTGAAACGCAGCAGCCAATTGTGCACAGCAGCGTCCCACAGACAGTTGTGGATTAAGTGGCCAAATTACTATTTATTTGTTTAGTTATGCGGAATTTAGGCGACCCGTCAATCGACTAACAGGCGGGTTCCTACTTACAGTTAGGTGAACAGAGATGTGTGGAGTAAGGAAACTTACACAATGTTTCGCACTGCTCGGGAATGGAAACCGGGAAATTAGCCTCAGGAAACATTGGTTCAGTAATGTGTGTATGTGCGCGCACAAGCGTGTGTGTGTGTGCATGCGTGTGTATGTGCACGCGCGTGTGTGTGTGTGCATTCCGAACATGCCAGCACAGTCACATCACAGTCGTCAGCCTATTCACACAGACGGTTCCTTTGTTTTGAGACGAGGCCTGGCCGGGCGGGCAGTGGTTTCACAAACCTCACCAGTCACTATTTACATACAAGAAGCTGCTGTGTAAGTTTCAGGTTCTAGGCATTATTTTCATCCCATGTTGATATCAGATTTACCACAAAGCCGAATATCAGGTTTAAAAGCCTTAACATTGTATCAATATACAGTTCCCTTATAGAGTAATGTCTTGGAACATTTTACAAAGACGGTGCTGGACAGCAGGAGAGTAATATAATAATACTTGCATTTGATATAGCGCTTTTCATGTCTTCCAGACGTCTCAAAGCGCTTCACAGGATATAAAGTGAATTGACTGTATATTTGTGGACGAAACGTCAGAGTAGGCACAGTCAGTGGTGAGCTGGAGCAGTTCAGGGAGGGAGATCTCGAGGGGTGGGGGGGTTGGGGCTGAGGCTTGGCTGCCGATGGGGTGGTGGGGTAAAGGTGGCAGAGAACACGCAGCAGGCTCAAGTTTTCTGATTGGAAGATCGAGCAGGAGAGGGAGGCTAGAGGGACCGGGGGTGAGAGCACAAAGGGATTTGTAGGTGAGCCTCTGTTTGAAAGAGTTAACAATAATAATAATCCTTGCCTTTGATACAACGCCTTATCACGTCTGTGAGACGTCTCAAAGCGCGTGTGTTAATTACTATTTATTTATTTTGAAGGGATTATTACCCCCTGAAAAACGATCTGCCGATCGACTAACAACCGGGTTCCTACTTATTGCTAAGTACCCAGAGGTGTGTGGAGTAAGGAAACATGCCCAACATTTCGTCCTGCTCGAGGATCGAACCCAGGTCCTCTACACTTGGGAGGCGACTGCTCTAACCACTGAGCTACAGGACTCCACTTTTTGAAGGGTTTAATCAACTCTCTTTAAATTTTGTTTGCTGGGCCACATATTGATCAATCAATCTGTGAAGGGGGAAAGGGAATTTCTTCTAATCCCTGGACTTGCTTGAGTCTTGCTTCACTCTTGCTTAGACTGTAGTTCTGAGCTCACAATCCAATGATGTACTAGTATTTTAAGAACATTTTCGGTTTCTGTTATATTCACACACCAATGTTCTCACTGTTTTATTTTATGGTAACCAGTGATCTCTGCCAAATTTAAATTCTGCTGCCTTCATCTTCTTCAAGATGTTACACTACATCAAAACCATAAAAATGCAAGTTGTTGTTCATTTTAAGCTCTGATATTTGGTCTCCACAAGCTTGTAAATAATAATAATCCTTGCATTTGACATAATGCCTTATCATAGACGTCTCAAAGTGCTTCGCAGAATATCCTATAAAGTGAATTGATCGTATATTTTGGGGGTAAAATGTGGCAGCCAATTGAGCACAACAGTGTCCCACAAACAGTCGTGGATTGAGTGACCAAATAATTATTATTTTTTATTTTTTGAAGGGATTAGTACCCACAGAAATGTGATCCGCCCATCGACTAACAACCGGGTTCCTATTTATTGCTTGGTAAACAGAGGCATGTGGAGTAAGGAAACTTGTCCAAAGTTTCGCTCTGCCCGGGAATCGAACCCAGGTCCTCTAACCACTGAGCTACAGTACCTTACTGTGTGTGTTGTTAACCTGCACCTGTTTACCTCAGCATGGTGGTTACGCCATCCAAAGAAATGCATGGAAAAAGCAGCAGTTTAATCGATATCTCAGTTGAAATGTTGTCTACTGAAACTTAGTGTCCCCAATGAAATCAATTAAAAAATATTAGAAAGAAGCTGGATAACTTGGCCACCTCGTGTATCAAACAT